CACCAGCAGCGCCCAGTCCGCGGACAGGGCTCGACCCCGCGACTCAGCAGTGCCGGCGCCCCCGGGCTCCTGAACCCGGCCTGACGCTCCTGTCCAAACTTTGCACTCTGCCTGGCGGGCTAGGAGATTAGAAGGATGGGATGGGCCGGGAATTTTTGGAAAAGGAGTAAAGTCGTGCCTAAGATTTAGACGGAGGTGCTCTCTAAAGAACGAGCTGGCTCCAGGCTGGGGCGGAAACGGCCCCCCACCCCTCCCCACCCCGGTGGACGTGTCTGAGAAGTTTGTTCCACCGGGAAAGGGTCATCGCCAGTACGAACAAGCCGGGGACATCGCCTCAAGGAGGCCACTTCCGCGGCGAATGGAAAAGAAATGGAAGGCAGGGGCCCGTGGCCCCGTTTCCCACCAGACTGGCCCCGGTAAATGAAACGGCGAAAGACCAGAGCGACCGAGTGGCCGCGAGAAAGTTTCCTATCCGACCCTTTGGACTCAGCCGAGTGTGCGAGGGAAAGAGGGCAGGGGCGCTGAGCTCCAACATTTCAGAGGAAGCGTTTAAACCCTGAAACCACCCGGGGGGTGGGGGGGCCCGGAACGCGGCGAAGCAGGTAAGCGCGGCGTTTCCCCTGCGGGTGCCATTCCGGGGCGCGCGAGTCTTGTCGGAGGCTTGTCACCGGGAGGCCAGCCGCGCGTTGGGAGCTAGCTGTTCCCGCGCTCAGCAAAGTTGCCTGCACCGGCACGAGCCGCCCGCGGCGTCCTTCCGCGGGTGCCGGCGCCGGGAAGGAGGCGCTGGGGCCCGCGACGCCGCGAGAGGGGCTGGGGGCCCGCGCTCCTCCGGTCCGCCGCGCCTGAGTCTTCGCACCCACACCCGGGCCGCTGAGCTGGGTGGGCGCGCGGGGGAGCGAAGAAACCGGTTCTCCGGCACATCACCTCCCGGCCGCCACTCCCTCACTAGCGCCGAGAGGGCGGGCGAGGGACGGGGGCCCCGGGACAGGCCCCGGGACCCGCACCCCTC